AGGTTAGTGTCCAATTGGAGTTGAAAACTAGGTCTGGATGGAGCTCAGGGAAGTGATCTGGGTTGGACGGAGATTGGGGTTTCCTTAACACGCAGGAGAACTGATGGGAGGGAGAAGGTGAGAACAACCCTGGCTGGGCTGAGCTCTCTTCGTCCTGACCATATAGAGCATCTGTTGCCAGCATGAAACAGCTTAGCACTTGTATTCAGACACGCCTTTTCCATTTGCTGCCTCTTTTATTGCTCGCTTTCATCCTGAATGTGTTTTCCTTCCAACAACACCTTAAGAAACTGCCCAATATTTCACATACTTTCTCCCCACTCTCCATTCACTAGCACAGGGTCGATCAAACAGTTAAGCTTGGTGGTGATAATAATCCTAAGTAACTACTAGTAACAGTTACTGTTAGGTACAAGGCCTAATGTTAAGATCTTAACTCTGCGGTTTTATTCTGTTTTCTCAAGGACCCAAAGAGGTAAGTATTAGGAACTTTATTTTACAAATGAGGAAACAAATGAAGTTACAGAGCATGCCTAAAGCCCCACAACTGGCAGAGGGAGAAATACGGCATTGAACCTAGCTGAGTATGACCCCAAAGTCTGTGTGCCCTCTCACTGAGCAGGGTGAGGACACTTCTAGTCTGGCTGGGAGGTCACAAGGAAGAGAGGGTACAGATTTGCCAAGTGGCTACCAGGATAGGAACCAGGAGCCTCTCAGGCGAGCTCTAAGCAGCCTTGATTCTTGACTCAGTGGCAGAAAGAACTGACAACCAGGGGTGTTCACAGTGGAACAGGTCCCTCAGGAAGCAATGAGCTGCTGGTCACGTGGAGGAGACATGATCTTTAAGGAGCCTCCAGTCTTGAGCACTTAAGGGTGAACCTGCTGACATTTCAAGGTGGATGATATGCTTGGCAAAAGTGCCCCCCAAACAATTCGAAGAAAAGTAGTGACGCAGCCAAAGGATAAAGAATAATTTAAGAAAGCAGATTTCAGGGGCGCCTGGGTGGCTCAGTTGGTTAAGCGTCTGCCTTCGGCTCAGGTCATGATCTCAGGGTCGAGGAGCCTGCTTCTCCCTCTGCCTTCTGCTCTCCCTGCTTGTACTCTCTCTCTGACAAATAAATAAAATCTTGAAAGAAAGAAAGAAAGAAAAAGAGAGAAAGAAAGAAAAAGAAAGAAAGAAAGAAAAGAAAAAAAGAAAATGAAAGAAAGAAAAGAAAGAAAAAAAAAGAAAGCAAGCAAGCAGATTTCAATGTGATGGGTGCTTCTGAGGCTCCAAGGGGAAGGGGTGGGAGCAGTGGGAGTGATTTTCAGGGAGAAAACATTAAAAGTAGTAAGAACAACTTCCCCAGGCATGGGACAGGCGGCGGCAAGCTGATAAGCTCTGCGGAAAATGGCATAAGGAGCTGAATCACCACTGGGCATAGACTCCTCCCTTTTTTCTCCATTAACAGAGCACCCATCAGCAGCCTGGCATGAGACCAGCAGCTGCGGGGAAAATGCAGAACAGAGCAGGATGAAGTAACAGTCTCTTCCCCTGGGAGATGCACAGTAGAATCCTCAGGGACAAGATAAAAAGCCAAGTGGCTGAAAAGGTTGGACACATGCAAGATTAAACACTGAAAGCAAGATAAGAGCCTGAGAACCCGGCAGGGCAGACCCCCCCCCCCCCCCCCCCCGCACCCCACCCCCTCAGCACGCAGGGAGGAGCAGGGCCAGATGCCTAAAGAGAATCACAAAGCACGGAATCCTGCAGAGAGCAGAAGAGCCAGAGCAAGAATGCAGCAGAAGTCATAAAGGGAGACTGAAAAATGTTCTTTCCATTTACCTGGAAAAAGATGATAAAAGGAATGTGCTCCTTTATTAGACGGAGAGAAAGCACAAGGGAAAAAAGCAGGGGTTGTGGATGTGTGTTTGTGCTTGGGTATGTGTGGTATGCCCCTACATGGGCCTATAAACACATGCACACTCCATGTGCGTGTGGCAGACGTGTCCATTCAGTGCCTCCGGGTGGACCTGCGTGAGGCTGTGTTGAGGGTGTGTACAACTGTGCTTCCGTGTGGGTGTGAACAAGGCAATCTGACCTCAGTTCTCTTGACCTCTACTCTACGTGGTCAGTCTCCCTTACACACCTGGACTGTAGATTAGAGAAGGACATGGTGGTCACTGGGAGCCTGAGCTCCCCCACAACAGCAGGCTCTCTCTGCACGTGCAGCTGCCTTCCCCTCTCTGGGCTTCAGTTTCCTTACCTGTTGAACAAAAACATTTAAGCAGTGGCTTTCAACCCAAGATGCAAAGCAGGGGGCACCACTGAAGTTTTAAAATAATAAGAGATACCCATGACCCACCCTTGCACCACCGAGAATCCCAATCTCTAGAAGAGCCTTCTGATGAAGTCCCTTTCACAAGAGATTCCAAAACTGAGCCTCAATAAGAATGACAAAGGGGCCCTGAGCTCCAGATTCCATTTCCTCTCCAGGAACTTGCTGTCGAGTTGGGAATGCTGTCATGATCTGATGGAGTGTCCCTGCATAGAAGGTTGGATTATCACACCACAGCCAGCACTCCTCTGGGAGAAAAGGCCAATGTGAGGGCTAAAGAAGACAGACCCCAAACACAAAAGACTCTAACCTGCAGGGCCCTGGAGGAAGACTGACAAGGACAAATCCAAGTTCTGCACTAAGGGACACAACCTAATGGATGAACACAGGAAACTGGTAACAGTAGGAGATCTGGGGGAGAAGAGCTGAAGGGCTGAGGACAACCGACAGAGAGAAAGAAGTATAGGTCACTGTGACTTGTGGGTGCCTTTTGAATTTTGCATCGTAGAACTATATTAGCTACCTTTAAAAATCACTGGGGAAAATATAATCGGCAGAGGCACAGGATCTGGAAGAACCTGGTTGGATATAACTGAGATGCACACAATCTAGGGTTTTAGCTGACAAGCTTACCCTGAGCAGACACAGTGTGGTGGCTGTCAGAATTAGCCTGACCTGCAACTTCATGGTGGACAGGTGGCACTCTCATTAAGTGGGGACTATCCCTCTGTGATCTCTGAAGTTCACTCCCTGTCTGGATTTCTGAGCCCTGGACTGAGCACCACATTCTGAGCAGTATTTGGATTGAACCTAAAATACACCCCAAAAACAGAAATTGGAGTGGAGAAGGGTCAGGAAACTGGAGCAGGGCAAAGGGATAGGGTTTGCCAGTCCAGGCAAGGAGAAGACTGGGTGGAGAACCACGGAGGTCTTCACATATCTCCATTGGCAAAAGAGAAGAGACTGTTCTTCCTGAAGACAGAACTTCAATTTGGTGTCCGTGAGCACCTGCAGAAAGGTACTTTCTGAGCTAGGGAAAAACTTCCTAAACTTTAGATCAGTCTCACAGCAGAATGTAGTGAGCTCCTGGTCATAGGACATACTTGACCTAGGGATGTAGGACCTCCCTCCGTCAGAGATGATACCAGGGAGATTCTTGCATCCACCAGGACACTGAACCTGGTGGACTCTGGGTCTGAGCCCACCCTGACTCATGAGGAACACCCCAGATCCTCGAGGACCAGTGCCAGGCTTCGTTATGCAGGTTTTTTTTTTTTTTAAGATTTTATTTATTTGAGAGAGAGAGAATGAGAGAGAGTGAGCACATGAGAGGGGGGAGGGTCAGAGGGAGAAGCGGACTCCCCGCCGAGCGGGGAGCCCAATGCGGGACTCGATCCAGGGACTCCAGGATCATGACCTGAGCCAAAGGCAGTCGCTTAACCAACTGAGCCACCCAGGCGCCCTGTTATGCAGGTTTTGTACCTCGGGGTTATCCTGCTGTCACCCACTAGTGACATCAACCTAGGGGCAGTGGGGGCAGTGCCAGAGGAGCCACCAATCCAGAGCTGCGGAGCATCAGACCAAAACCTGGGCCTGGAAGGGATTTGGCAAGGCCAACAGGTGTACCCTTCCACACTTAAAAAACAAAACAAAACAAAACATTTACTAAGTTCTTCTGTGTGGCTGGCCAGGGGCCACTGTGGGAGTGAACATGACAGGCAGGTCTTGGCCTGCATTCTAGGGAGAAGACAGAAAACCAACTTAAATCATTCGTAGTTTCCACCAACAAGAAAACTATTAGAAGGCATGAGTGCTACAGAGAGAAATAGGTGTAGGAGCGGGCTCTATGGGAAGTCAGGGATCAAAGAAGGCTCTCTGAGGAGGTGACATTTATTCTGAGCCCTGAATCACTTTGCCTTGGGCAACTGGTCAACAAACAGCACTTGTGGTGTTCACCCACAGGGGCACGAGTCTGTTTCAGCAGATGCCCAGCTGCCCTTAGTCAACTTTTTCTCCCTTAGGGCCAAGAAGCCCTTCCCCCAGGAAGCAGCCCTAAGATACTGCGAATCCCACAGGAACACAAACAGTTCTGATTTGGGTGAGGGGCATAACTAGTCTCTAGAAACAAATGAGCCTGGGATCAGGTCTGGGAGACGCGAATAGCAGTGCTCGCTTCACTGGGTCTTTGTGGGCATTAAATGAGTACATGCACTTAAAGCATCAAAGCGCCCGACACAGTAAACGCTCAGGAAGGGGCAACTACCTCGATAAACGTCAATAAATGTCAAAAGTCTCGCTCCGAACTCAGAGGAGGCCAGGCCTTCTTCCTGCGCTTCGGTTTCTCCCGCTGTCCTCTCTGGCCGTGGCACTGGGTGCATTCAGGGTTAGGATCTCCCGAGTCTCTGCACACCCCTGCGGCCTCGGGGCGGTGTACAGTCGAGGAATCCGAGGCCTCAGGGGCATGGGTGGTGGCCTTTGGGAACCGGTGCCTCGGGGGAGCCCATGCCCCGCCCCTCGGTGCCCGCCCCCCTAAGTGACCCCGCCCTCCACATTGGATGGCCCCGCCCCAGTCCCCCCTTCCCAGCCTAGAGCGGGCCCTGCCTGCGCGCTCCTTTAAGGCAGCCTGCGGGAAGAGAAGAGCGTATTTCGCCCCCTCCGACGCCGCCGAGGTAGAGGCTTCACCTTTAAGGCGGCGCAGGGACTGCTGGGAAGGCCGGCGGGATGGAGGCGGTGGGACCCGCTCACGGCTGCGGGTCCGGGTGAAGCGGGGCGGGAGCCGGAACCTGAGCAGGAGCGGGTCCGAGCGGAAGGCGTAGGTCCGCGCGAGCCGATCCGGCCGGGAGAGGGGCCTCTGGGTTGGCCTACGGGAGGGGTCGTCGTGGGCGCAGGCTGTGGGAGAACAAGGCCGGCCTGCTGGGAGGGGGCGCGGTCCTGGGTAGCCGGGGGCGGGAGCGAGGCCTTTTCAGGGGAGGGGTCCCCGGGGCGTCGCGCCGGCCTATGGGGAGGGGTCATTGTGGGCGCGGCCTAGTGGGGGGACGAAGAAGCCGAGATCTCAAGCTCCTGTAGGGGAAGGGTCTCCCGAGGGGCTCTGTGATTCGGCCTGCCTGTTGGGGAAGGGGCTGCCCAAGGGGTTGGGGCTGGATCTAGAGGGGCCGGGGTCTCCCGCACGCGAGTGAGCCTCCACGATCCCTGTAGGACAGCCCCCCCACCTCCAGCCCTCCCTGTCCTGGCTAGGGGAGTACCCGGGAAGTCCTGAGACTGAGCCGCCTCAGCCGGCCTGAGCCGGTGGTCTGGGCCGAATCCGGATCCAACCTCACCGGCCTCACCGCATTGCGTCTCCCGGGCCGAGACGAGCTTGGGCGCGCCCCCTGTAGGCCGAGCGCGGGCACGGTACGGGTTGCTGGCTGGGGGACCCGGGCACCCTGGGGACCCCGGCGTACGGGGACCCGAGGTGTTTACCTAACCCGGGGCGGACGGCGGTGTGGCCCCAGGCCCGGCACGCGCCTGCCCGCCCCCTCGCCTCCACAGGCGGCACGCCATGGCTACGATGGTGCTTCCGCGGGAGGAGAAGCTGAGCCAGGATGAGATAGTGCTGGGCACTAAGGCCGTCATCCAAGGCCTGGAGACCCTGCGCGGGGAGCATCGTGCCCTTCTCGCTCCCTTGGTAGCTCATGAAGCTGGCGAGGCGGAGCCCGGCTCACAGGAGCGATGTGTCCTCCTGCGTCGCTCCCTGGAAGCCATCGAGCTGGGTCTGGGGGAGGCCCAGGTAGGCTGGGCTGGGATGCTGAGGTGGGAGGTCACGGGAGGGATGGAGCCTTCCAGAGGAATCCTGGCAATGTAGGAGCAGAATCTGGGCAGGGAACCATGTGGCCTCTGGAGCCCATGGTAAGACCTTAGTAAATATCTGTTGAAAAATGAATGGGCTTTGGAAACCCCAGCTGTGCCTTGCCTCAAGAGAGCCTGATCATCCTTTAGCCCCCACACAGAACCCTGTTCGTGGCTTCTCTGATGGGTAGCAGAGACTGAATGGCATAGGAGATCAAAAAGAAATCCTTAAGAACCGCCCCCCCCTTCATTCTCTTATTCATTCCTTCACAGGTAAGTTATCAAGTGCCTACTATGTGCCAGGCAATCTGTTATGTGCCAGAGATACAGGTCCAACAAGAGAGACAAGATCTCTGCCCTAATCCACTGGGGAGAGAGTCAGAAACACACATATATTTGTTACATATCCTGATAAGTTCTACAAAGAGAAGAACAAGATCTTGTGATAGCTTATAGCAGGAGGTCTTATTTATTGGACAGGCAAGACTTCTGAGGAAGTGACATTTAAACCAAGACCTGAAGGAAGGAACAAACCGGCCTCCAGAAAAGGGAGGGAGGCGAGAGGTTACATGTGCAAAGGTCCTGAGATAGCAAAGATCTTGTTACGGGAGAAATGAGAGAAGACCTGTCTAACCAGAGCTTCCTGGGGAAGGAGAGGGACAGAAGAGGCCTGTGGAGAAGGTGGGGGCCAGATCATGCTGCACCTTATTAGTTTGGGTTGTATTCTCAGAAAAGCAGGAAGCCTTTGGAGGGCTTCAGTAGTCAAAAGGTAGTCTGCCTTAGATTTTAAAAGCTCCCTTTGGGGGGGCACCTAGCTGACTCAGTAGAACATGGGACTCTTGATCTCGGGGTTGTGAGTTTGAGACCCATGTTGGGTGTAGAGATTACTTTAAAAAAAGAATCTTTTTTTTTTTAAAGATTTTATTTATTTATTCATGAGAGACAGAGAGAGAGAGGCAGAGGGAGAAGCAGGCTCCCCGCTGACCAGGGAGCCCGATGTGGGACTCGATCCCAGGACCCTGGGATCATGACCTGAGCCAAAGGCAGACGCTTAACCATCTGAGCCACCCAGGCGCCCTAAAAAAAGAATCTTAAAAAAAATAAAAACTCCCTTTGGCTGAGGTGTAGAGAATGAACCATACATAGCGAGTCAAGGGTGGAAGCAGGTAGCAGGTAGTTAGCAAGCCACTGCTGGAATTCAAGTGAAAAATGGTAGCTTGGACTACAGAGGTGGCCAGGAGGGAGGAGAGAAGGGGCCCAGTTCTAATGTTCTGGAGGTGGGTCCAGCAGGACCTGGAGGCAGAGTAAGGGAGAGAGAGGAGGGCAGAGTAACTCCCAGATTGTGGCCAGAGCAAGTGAAGGAGACAAGAGAGATTGGATGATCAGGGGTTGTGTTTTGGTCCTCTTTTACGTTGGGGCCGCCAGGACGATATGCAGATGGAGATATTGAGGAAGCACTGGGGTGTACAAGGAGTACACACTTTCTCCAGGGTAGAGTCTTGGCCCCTTCGAATCTTGGCTGAGATGCCGTCTGGCTCCATAAATCTTGGGCAGGTGGCATCATCTTGGTTTCCTTGTCTTTAAAATAGGGCTCATGCCATCTGCTGTATATACTTCCAGGCTGTTTAGGGAATTTTTTAAAAAGCTGGTGGTTGTGGAAACACCTGTCACTTACGCATTTGCTAGTCAACTAGAAAGTGCAGGGTCGCAGACTGCTTGGCCCTCTGGCAGTGCAGTGTGCTGGTCATTCCCTCCTTGGCCACTTGGCTGCCAGGTACAGAGATAAACACACAGGGGGCCCCCTCCTAGTGTGTGCAGACACCAACACAGATGGGCAAGAAGATGGCGTGGAGGGAACGTGCCCTCCTTTCCTTCGGCTGCAGGAATGACCCTGGCTGTGAAGGGTGGAGAAAGAGTAGAGCCTATGCGAGGCTCCAAGGCAGGAAGAGCCTAAAGGCACAGGAAGAGTCCTAGAGGTTGGAGAGAGGGGGAGGGGCTGAAGCTGAGGCCTTTGGGTCCCCTTCCCTTGTGGTTCCCAGACCATCTGGGGGCTTGGGACACGTACACCTCTCCTCTCTAGGAGCTGCATAAGGCCAAGGGCTCACCTTGGCAGAAATCAGGTCTTTCCGTGGCTCTTCAGCCATTTGTCAGGATTCTTAGGAAATTGCTAGCCCTGGGGCAGGGAGCAATGGGATAGTGGCTGTGGCAGCAGGGCTTAGGTACAACCCCCAGGAGAGACAAAGGGAGAGAATGGCTAGCTCAGGGAAAGCGTAGGATCCCACCTAGCCCTCTCCGTGATAACTCAGTGAGGTGGGAATTGGGGTTTTTAATGCAGAGGACTAGCTAGAGGCCCAGGAGAGGGGATGGACTTTCTCAGAGTCCAGTAGAGTCAGCCTAGGAACCCAGGGCTCCTGACCCTGGAAGGAAGGAGCTGGGGTTCCCAAACCTCCTAGGTTCAGGTCTTGGACTAGGGTCTGTTTGGGGCCTTGGGGGGGTGGAACTCCCTTGATGAGAGGAGAACTTGGTGGCCCTCAGTCCTGTAGCTCCTCATAGGCAGGGCCAGGTCCTAACACCCCAGGAGACCCAGGCTGGGGGGTGGACAAGACTCTAACCCTCATCCCGGCTGGCTGGCACCACAGGTGATCCTGGCGCTGTCGAGCCACCTGGGGGCTGTGGAGTCAGAAAAGCAGAAGCTGCGGGCTCAGGTGCGGCGCCTGGTGCAGGAGAACCAGTGGCTGCGAGAGGAGCTGGCTGGGACACAGCAGAAGCTGCAGCGCAGTGAGCAGGCTGTGGCCCAGCTCGAGGAGGAAAAGCAGCACTTGCTGTTCATGAGCCAGATCCGCAAGCTGGATGAGGACACATCCCCCAGTGTGAGCCCCTACCACAGCCACTGTGAGGCCATTGGGCAGGGGGGCCTGGGAGCAGGGAGGGACGTGGAGCCGACTCGGCTCTAACCCAGCCACTGACACGTGGGCTACCATGCCCCTCCTTCCCTGACACTCTTTCTGTCCTCCCCAGGAGGAGAAGGGGGACGTTCCCAAAGACTCTCTGGATGACCTGTTCCCCAACGAGGAGGAGCAGAGCCCAGGTGCAGAGGGGCAGCTGGTTCTGGGGGTGGGGGGGGGACTCCTTGTCCTTGGGACCCAGAGGTCACCAGAAACGGTGACCAGAAGGCCACCATGTTCTTTCCTGCCTCATTTCTGATCATCGCATCCCAGCATGTTGGAGTTTAAAAGGCAGGTTTCACATGTTGCTTCTCTCCCACTAACTTTTTTTTTTTTTCTTTTTCTCCCACTAACTTCTGAGAAACAGGTATCATAGTTCAGAGCTTTGGAGCAGCCTGACCTGGGTTCAAGTCCTGCTCTGCCACTAGTCATTCTGGGACCACTGGTTTCTTTCCCTCTCTGAGCCTCCTCTGAAGGTTATGGAGGATGCACGCACAGGACTGAGCCCCAGGCCAGTGCTTGCCTTGCTAATAGCACTGAGCACACATATCAGAGTCTCCTTTCTGCAGATGGGAAACTGGCTCGGGAGGTTAGGTGGCTTGCTCTACAACACACAGCTTGAGGTATTGGGGCTGGGATTCTACCCACTACAGATGGGGAAACAGGCGGAATAGCTAGTGACTTGCCCAGGGCCACACGTCAGGTAGGTCAAAGGCATCGCTATGGTATGGGCAGTTGGTACATCTGATCTGCCCTTGGCCTTGCAGCCCCCAGCCCTGGAGGAGGAGATGTGGCTGCCCAGCACGGGGGCTATGAAATCCCAGCACGGCTCCGCACCCTGCACAACCTAGTGATTCAGTACGCCTCCCAGGGCCGCTACGAGGTGGCCGTGCCACTCTGCAAGCAGGCACTTGAGGACCTGGAAAAGACCTCAGGCCACGACCACCCTGATGTCGCCACCATGCTGAACATCCTGGCTTTGGTCTATCGGTGAGGGTGCCTCTGGCCACAGTCATCCATGGGAGTCTGCACACTTCCTGAAGGCTCCAGCCCTGGGTCACAAACCCTCAGTCCCTGCTGTGGGCCAGGACTGGGCAGTTGGGCAGGAGAGAGAAGGAGATTATGCCCAGAGAGGGCTGAACCCACAGAGTACCTAGATCTCCCCCCAGGCTTAGTCTGTTGGAGGAGAAAGGCTTGGGCATAACTATGGATGGGGACAGCACAGCTTCTCTGATCATTAAGGCTTAAGAAGGGGGGACGTCGGGTGGCTCAGTTGTTAAGGCTTAAGATGAGTTGCCCAGAACATGAGAGGCTTGCAAAAGTTTTCCTTGGCAGAAAGAACAGTATGAGCAAAGGCCCTGGGGAATAGGCAACAGGGTACACTGAGCATGAGGAAGTGGGGGTAGAATCCTGGGGAGTCTGGCTCATCCCCCAGCACTCAATGCCCTGGTGAGTTGTAAGTGAATGTTCAAAGTCACCCCAAGCTCCTGGAGGGCAGGGGCTGACCAGGTCTTCCCAAGCTCTGGGTAATAATCATGTCCACTCATCAGTAAATCCAGGAGGAGTGACCACAGGGATCTGGGACCAGTAGGGGGAGGGCCTTGGGCTAGAGGATACCCCTCACCATGCTTCTGCCTGCACCCAGGGACCAGAACAAGTACAAAGAGGCTGCTCACCTGCTCAACGATGCCCTGGCCATCCGTGAAAAGACACTGGGCAAAGACCACCCGGCTGTGAGTGAGAGTGGGTGGGAGGTGGGATCTGCCCCTGCCCTGTGTTGGGCAGGGCCCCAGGTCATTGAGCCTCCATTCTCCTACCCCCCAGGTGGCTGCAACACTAAACAACTTGGCAGTTCTGTATGGCAAGCGGGGCAAGTACAAAGAGGCCGAGCCACTGTGCAAGCGGGCACTGGAAATCCGAGAGAAGGTGGGAGCAGGCAGGGCTGGGCAGGCCGGCTGGGCCTGGCAGGCAGGGGCCTAGGGCAGCCCTGAGCCCAGCCGCTGGCTCCCACTCCTATCCCAGGTCCTGGGCAAGTTTCATCCGGATGTGGCCAAGCAGCTGAGCAATCTGGCCCTGCTGTGCCAGAACCAGGGCAAAGCTGAGGAGGTAGAATACTACTACCGGAGGGCCCTGGAGATCTATGCCACACGCCTTGGGCCTGATGACCCCAACGTGGCCAAGACCAAGAACAACCTGGTACCCTGGGCCAGGAGTGGGGAGGGAGGAAAGGAGGATTGGGGAGGAAGGAAGGAAAAGGCTCAGCTCCCTTCATCCTGCTCACTCCGTGGCCCCTTTCCTCTAGGCCTCCTGCTACCTAAAGCAGGGCAAGTACCAGGATGCAGAGACCCTGTACAAGGAGATCCTCACCCGCGCTCATGAGAAGGAGTTTGGTTCTGTCAATGGTGAGTCTCTGACCACCATGTGCCCCCAGCTCACACAGCGCAGGCCCGCCTAGCCATCAGCATCCAGGGCAAATACTTCAGCTGGGTGGGCCCTTGTGGGGTCTGGCTGGTTGCCAGCCACTTGTGTGCATGTGTGAAAACACATACACGACACACAGCTTCCTGGGTCCTGCTGGTGCTGTTACACACCCTTTGCATAGCCCATGCCCTGAGCCCAGAGTCTTTTCCCCTTCCTCTGCTGGGCAATTCCTGTTCACCATGAGGGCCCACCCCAAATGTCTCCCCCGCTAGGAAGCCACCTTCCGGCCCCCAGTGGTCAGTCATTTCCTGCTCTGGGATCACACGGCCTGGCCTATCATTCAGGCCTAGCATGTGTCTCAGGCTGTGGGCTTGAGGCATTTAAAGATGTGCTCCCCCCAGCCCTCAATCGCAAGCCCCTCAAGCACAGGCTTGTGCCATGTCATCTCCTTGTTCCAGAAGAGGGTCAGAATTGTTTCAAGTCTGTTTTTTGTTCACTGTTTCATTCATTCATTCATTCATTCATTCATTCAACAAAGCCCAACCCTGATCCTTCCTGGGTACCCCTAACCGCCTCCCCAGACCCCAGTCCTATGTTTCAACCAGGAGAAGCCTATATGGGAGGCTGGTGACAGCCCCCTTTCTCCCCCCAGGGGACAACAAGCCCATCTGGATGCATGCAGAAGAACGGGAGGAGAGCAAGGTAGCTCTATGGGCAGGGCTGGGGTGGTCTGGGTAGGGAGGGTGAGGCTAGGGATGTGTAGAGGGGAGGGACTTGTGCCACCTCCCCTGACCATTCCTTCCCCCAGGACAAGCGCCGGGACAGCACCCCCTATGGAGAATATGGCAGCTGGTATAAGGCCTGTAAAGTAGACAGGTGAGGACAACGGGGCAGGGCTGGAAATAGAGCAGGTAGTAGGGAAACAGCATCCTGGGTGGGGGCCAAGTCCAGGCTCTACACTCCATAATGCTCACCCCCAGAACACACACCTCTTTGTCAACTTGTCTTTCAAGACCTGGGTCACAGGCCCCCTGTCCCAAAAAGGCTCTCTGCCCTGGGACAGCCCAATTTTCTTGCTTTTGGGTCTCCTAGCTTTTAGTCCTGGTGGCAACATCCCACGTAGGGCTCTGGGCCCAGGTCCCCAACCCTAGGAACCTGGGGTGATTCCAAGACAGGAGAGTCTAAGTAGGCCGAGCACAAGGCTGGACACGAGGGGAGAGATTCTGGTTGGCTGGATGGTTCCTTGGGGCCCAAAGTGGGCCGGATGCTAGGATGGGCCTGGTTCCTGGGGAACACGGAGTTTGAGACTGCCCTGCTGTCCTGTCCACAGCCCCACAGTCAACACTACCCTGCGCAGCTTGGGGGCCCTGTACCGGCGCCAGGGCAAGCTAGAAGCTGCACATACACTGGAGGACTGTGCCAGCCGCAGCCGCAAGCAGGTGGGGCAACAGGCATGAGGGGTGTGGGCAGGGACCTGGGTGGCCCTTGTGTTCCCATCAGGATTCAGGGCTCCACCTGATGTGCCCTGCCACTCCCTCAGGGCCTGGACCCCGCAAGCCAGACCAAGGTGGTGGAACTGCTGAAAGATGGCAGCGGTGGGCGGGGAGACCGCCGGGGCAGCCGAGACGTGGCGGGGGTTGCCGGGGCACGGCCTGAGTCTGACCTCGAGGAGGCAGGGCCTGCAGCTGAGTGGAGTGGGGTGAGTCTAGGGGCTGGGGTGGGCCAGGAGGCTGGGTAGTCAGTGTGGCAGAGACAGACTTATCCCCCCACAGGACGGCAGTGGCTCCTTGCGGCGTAGCAGCTCCTTTGGGAAGCTCCGAGATGCCCTGAGGCGTAGCAGTGAGATGCTCGTGAAGAAGTTGCAGGGTGGTAGCCCCCAGGAGCCTCCTAACCCCAGGTGAGCCTCTGCCTTGGATGGGCCCTCCACCCAGGGTGAGCCTCTCAAGAACCCACCCCATGGCCCACCAACCCCAGATGAGTTCCTGATCTAGGTGAACTCCCTCATCTCCCTCAAGCTCCACCACCCACCTAATCTGCTCCCCTCCCATCAGCCTCCATCTCCAGCCCCATCCTGACCCTTTCCCACATCCTCCCCACTTCCACCCTTGGCAAATCCAGGCATTCCTTTCTCCTCAGGATGAAGCGGGCCAGTTCCCTCAACTTCCTCAACAAGAGTGTGGAAGAGCCAGTCCAGGTATGGCCGGGTGGGTGTTGGGGCACTGGGCAGTGAGGCCCAGGCCCCAGAGCCCAAAGACTGCATGTCCTCTGTAATTGCCAAGCTTGTCAATCATATCTGTTTATCTAGAAACCTTTCCAGCTCTGTGCCAGGCCTGGCTTTGGGCTGGACACTGGGAAGACAAATGAGGGAAACCAAGCTCCTGCATGGGGTGGACATGCAAGTGGCCAGTGCCAACACAGTGATGCGTGGAGGTGGGCGGGAGTGCCAGAGCATCAGGACATGGTCAGGGGCTCAGCTCAGGGACTCTGGCTGCTGGGGCCCCTTCTGGCCAGGGAAGTACAGCCTGGCAGCAGCGCGAAGCTGAGCCACCTGGCCCCTCTGCCCACAGCCTGGAGGCACAGGCTTCTCTGACAGCCGCACCCTCAGCTCCAGCTCCATGGACCTCTCCCGACGAAGCTCCCTCGTGGGCTAATCCTGAAGGGGCAGCGCCAGAGCCTCCACCCAGCACTGCCCCCATCCCCAGCCCTTCGCATGGGCCTGCTGCTTGCCCCACCTGTCTCTCCCAAGGACCCCCGTCTTTTCTGTTCAATCTCAGGGTAACCTCCTCCCTTGTCATCTCAGCCTAAGCTCTGGAGGCTGGGCCTGCCCGCTCCAGCTCTACCCCTTATTTATTCCATCCAGCAGGGCCCCCTCTTTAGGTTCAGGGCCAGGTGAGGGACTGGCCAGGGTCTCCAAGGTAGAGACTCAGTGGCCCGCCCTCCCCAGGCCTCCGAGCCAACACTAAGCACCTGCCGTCCCTTCAGCACTCCTGCCCTCCTGCCCCCCGGCCGTTGCTTCTGTATATAGAGAAATAAGTTATTGGCCGCGCCCCTCCCCTCAGTCCACGGTACTGCCCTGTTCTCCCCTCATCCTGCCCTTCTCTAGTGGTACCGCCCAGGCCTTAATCACCCCCCATTCCGCGCGGTGGTATCTTCCAGGCTCTACATCTCGGGGGCGGCGCCTCCCCAAAGGGTTCCCTGGGCCTTCTCGCGCTCCTCCTGGCCTCTGAGGGACGAGTTGAGCCCCACCATCGCCCTGTGCCCCAGGACGGAGAGCCCTCCCCTTGCCGGTCCTCTCACCGCCGGGCCCTGCCCAGCATCCCGGCCTTATGCACTGCCCCTCCCGCCCGGCCCCGCCCAGGCACGGCCTGACTCCGCCCCGGGCACCGCCCGTCGAGCCATCCTGCCACGCCTCTTCCCACGCCTGCCGCTTCTCGCTAGGGGCAGTGATGGCCCCTGTGGCAGGAGGGGCTGCCCCAGTTGGGGGGGTGAGGCGGTCGCTCTCTATTTTCAAATGTTGCTGTAGAAATAAAGACCGTTTGAATCTGAGCCGGGCTTGTTTTGGGGCGGAGGCCAAGGGCCCCCAGCGTCTCTAGGTTGGGGGTGAGGTCGGGAGAGGTTGCGAGCGAGCGAGCATGTGTGTCGCTCACGTACGGTCCCGCGCTGATGGAGCCCAGATATTTTGCTCCTATCCCGGGTTGGTTTGGGGGCCTCACAGATTGAGTTTTTTCTAACAACCTTCATCTCTGAGGCTCTGGAGACCGCGGGCTTTGAACTCTGCCCCTTCCTAAGCTGTTTAATCTTGAGCGAGTTACCGAGACTAGACCTTTTCCATCTATAAATGTGGGTGACGACACCCTCCGGGGGCTGCGTCTGAGTTAGGAGTGCCAGCACACCAAGAACCCCAAATAAATGAACTAATGCTAACAACTCCGGGAACTGCGAGGGTAGGGATGACTACCTCTGCCAGACAGACGTGAAATGTGTCAACCCCAGCCCAAAATTGACCGCTCATCGTCGGAACGCGTCTGGTCCCCGAGAGCTGTCTCAAGCCCAGGTACAGCTATAGGGAGCGAACTACAAGCCCCAGAAGGCAATGCGCGGCGACGATGGGGCGTGGGCTAGGAGCTGCTGTCTCGGGTTTGCGCCTGCGCAACGGGTGTGTGTGTGAGTGTGTGTGTGTGAGTGTGTGTGTGTGAGAGAGCGAGAGCGAGCGCTGGGCAAAGTAAGGAGACTACAAGTTCCGAGAAGCAACGCGGTAAGGCCCAAGTCGGGAGTGTTTGCGCCTGCGCGTCGCGGGCGGGGCCTCTGGGGCGGAGCGGCCACCATCTTGGAACGGGAGGCGGAGCAGAGCTGACTGGGAGCGACCGAGCGGGCCACCGCAGCCGCCATGAACCCCGAATAGTGAGTGAGCCCCGCCCGCGCCGTCCGGCGCAGCCTCGATCCCGAGTACGGGGCTGTACGCTTACCGGGGTTGTCTGGCCTGGGTCAGGACTGAGCGGCGCCCCCACATCCGGGTCCCTCTTCCGCTGACCCCCCTCCCTCACATCCGGGTCCTGCCCCTCCCCCCGGGGGCCCCAGGACCCCAGCTCGGCACCCCGAGTTCTTGCACCCGGGACCCAGACACTGCGACCCCAAGGGGTACTACTTGGAGCCCGAAGCACCGGCCCCTTACAGGCCTTATTGGTCAGGTGACCCCGCAGCCTCGGTCTCTCCAGGCCTCAGTTTCCCCACCTGCTGCTTGCCGTGGCGGTCTGGGTGCTGACGACGGTCCCGGCGTTTTGGAGCCGGTCCAGTTTCGGGCCCTTTAGGTCTGACAGTAAATCTTTTCTGTTTTTCCCTTTCTCCCGGAATCCGGTTCCTGGGGCTGGTCAGACGCGGGAGGCCCCGAGGTGCCGCTCTGGGTTGCTCTCCCGGAGGTCCTCCCCTCCCGGGCTGCCGCCTCGCCCCTTGCGGGGTCTAGCTGTCCTGCCGCTCCTGGAGGCCAGTCCCTTCCCGCCCTCTCCTCACCTTTGCGCAGGCCCCCTGCGCCACCGTCACACCCCTTCCCTTCGCCGTCACGCTGCCGATGAAGTTTAGATGAATGTGGCATTTGTTTCTCCCCTTCCAGTGGGATTCTCTGTACCTCAGACTCTCCTCACTTCTTGGTCACTCCCCCTGCGGGTAGGTGGCCCACATCTCTGCCCCGGACTTCTCATTGACAGTTTTCCCCAAGTGTCCGTTGTCTTCTTCCTCTTCTGCCACTTCCTTTTTCTCCTCCAGATCCAGGCCTCAGATTTCCTTGGGGAAGGGTGAAGCGCATGAGCTGGATTATAAGGGACACAGAAGGGAACCAACAGGCTCTCACAGAGACTTTGGAGTCTGAACCTGGTTTCCAGTCTTAAAGTTAACAGCTGTGTAACTTAGGGCAAGTCACTTCCCTCTTCTGACCTCTGGTTTCCTCATTAGTTGGGAATAACACCATCCACTTCACAGAGCTGATGTGAGGCTTAAATGAGATGATGCATTTGCAGTATTTAGCACAGGGCCAGGTACAAAGTAGGAACCCAGTACATTTTAACTGCCATCATTGGTACTCGTTGACCACCTCTTAGAGGCTTCATACCAGGCTCTTACTCTTTACTCACTTAACAGGCTCTAGGCTGGGCCCTAGCTTCCATTTCTGGGGCCTCCCCTGCCAAGCCAGGTAGGCCCCAGGGCAGTGGAGGGGGTTCCCCAACTAGCCCCTACTGGCCCAGAGACCATGGAGTCTGTTAGGTCTCAGGGTAGGATACCCAGCTTTTTCTCCTAAGGATTGTGATCCTTGATGGCAGGTCATGTCCCTCTCTGCCTCAGCTTCCTTCTCTGTAAAGTGGAAATTCAGACTCAGTCCTTTGGGCCAGCTATAATATGGGGGGTGGTCAGCCCTCCTCTTCCCAGGACTTGTGAGAGGGTACTGTGAACACCTTAATATTCTAAACCAAGGCAAGTCTCACATCATGGGAGAAGGCCATAGTTGTGATTGCAGGATGGCATGGCGGGTGGGCTTCCTGCCTTCCTTCATGCCTTCCCATCCTTTCTTTCTAGTGACTACCTGTTTAAGCTGCTTTTGATTGGTGATTCGGGCGTGGGCAAGTCATGCCTGCTTCTGCGGTTTGCTGTGAGTAAGAAGCCTCCCATACCATCCACCTGGGGTCCTGGCTGGTGGCAGGAGGGAGGGGGACAACCTAGAGCACAGCAGTTGCAAGACCTTGGAACCAAGGATGAAGTCGCAGGACCTCCTAGTAGCATCTCTGACTGAACAGAGACACAGGGCTGCAGGTTGGGGTGCTGAGAATGGGGGCTTAGCAGTTACAAGCTTGGCCAGGGCAGGAACCTGGAGGTAGATTTTCCAAATGGACTTTGGGCCTGTTCACCTAGGTCATTGGTCCCTACTTTTCCAGGATGACACATACACAGAGAGCTACATCAGCACCATTGGGGTGGACTTCAAGATCCGAACCATTGAGCTGGATGGCAAAACCATCAAACTTCAGATCGTGAGTGTTGCTATTCCCAGTCCCTGGTACAGAAGCAGCCATCTTGGGAGTGGTGGAGGCTCTGGGCAAGTAGCCCAGGGCTGACCTGCCCTTCTCTCCTACTGTCTTGTAGTGGGACACAGCTGGTCAGGAGCGGTTCCGGACCATCACTTCCAGCTACTACCGGGGGGCTCATGGCATCATTGTGGTGTACGATGTCACCGACCAGGTACTCCTGGGGTCACATCTCCAGTTTTGTCTCCTCATCTTCAGGTCTTTGGTTTTTGTTTTTTTGTCTTGTTCTGTTTTTTTAGAATTTTATTTTTTTAAGTAATCTGCACACCCAGCATTGGGGTTGAACTCACAACCTCGAGATCAAGGATCACATGCTCTGCTAACCGAGCCAGCCAGGCACTCCAGGTCTTTGGTTCTTGTTTCTTTTTACTCTTCCCATCCTCTCTTCTGGGTGATGCCTGGAAGGGAAGACTGTACTTGGACTCATTTCATTAGGAGGGAAACAGCTGCAGAAATGCATCCTCCTGAGGCCCCACTGCAGGGCGTTGGCAGAAACAGGCCTCACACCTCCGGCTAAACTTGCCACCTTATTCTAGACTTTCTAGGCACCTATGTTTCGTAGGGGTTTAGTCAGCTGATCGGTTGCTGTGCTGGGCCCATGACTTCCTGTGTGAAGACACTGTGGAGAAGCGATTAAAGGGCTTTAGACAAGGAGGTGAGGGAGCCCTGCGCTCTGAGCGCATTGTGAGCAGAGGTAGGAGCCCTGTGTCTGCTGTGGCAGCATTAGTCGTGTGTCACTAGCAGTGGTGGTGCTATTAACAGGCTGAAGCAGTCCCAGCGTATCTTACGGTTTATAGAACTTGTCACGGTCTCTTAACACTCTAAAGAAGTCTGTACTAGGTTCCCATTTTACAGATGAGGAAATGGGTCAGAGTGGTGAGGAGACTTGCCTTGGGGCCGTGCAGTTAAGTGGCAGCAACAGAAAACCTGGGTCAACTGATTCTACTTGCTTTATTCTTTCTACTAAACCTTGTTGCTTAGTGGGGACCAGGCCCTGGGGACATGGAAATGCTTACATCAGCCCTGGGCCTGGAGGAGCTCCTGCTCCGAGGGGCAGCTGGGCCCTTGGGCTCACCAGGAACTCATGATGTCTTCTGGACAACAAGCTGTGGGTGGACTCTGCTCTACTCAGAGGTCATCAGGGACCTCTAGCTGCCAAGTTCCATGACCTCATTTCAGTTCTTGCTCTGATTGACCTCTCATGGCTTTTACCTTCATTCTCCTCCCTCTACTTGGAAGGTTCACTATCTCCAGCTCTCCTACCTCTTGCTGCATTAGGTTCTCTTTTCAGCGACTTTTTACTGGTTTGCCCTGTACCACCACCACCACACTCCCTGCCTCCCCCCACCCCCACCCCCCCACCCCCCCAATCTTGTGCTTCCTACTGTCCGTGCATGGGTCTGGTCACTTTGTAGTTTGGCTTCTGTCTTATGTTCTATGATTCCTATGTACACAGTTATCACTCTGGATATTCTCTGTGTTCTACTTTGCTGGCACTTTTTTTTTAAGGTTTTATTTATTTATTTGACAGAGAGAGACACAGCGAGAGAGGGAACACAAGCAGGGGGAGTGGGAGAGGGAGAAGCAGGCTTCCCGCGGAGCAGGGAGCCCGATGTGGGATCCCAGGACCCTGGGATCATGACCTGAGCTGAAGGCAGACGCTTAATGACTGAGGCACCCAGGCGCCCCTACTCTGCTGGCACTTTGTGTAGTAATTCTAATCTTCATGGTATCACCCAGTGAAGTAAGTGTGGGGTCCCTGTTTTCCAGATGAAATATGCTTGGGGAGGTGTTAGGTAACTTGTCCATGGTCTCATAGCTAGGAGGGGCAAGGCTAGTGTTGGCTTCTGAACTTACCCTTCCCTGCCCCTAGCCAACCTCTGCTGAGCTCCAGATCATCTTCAGAACTCAGCATGTCCAGCACTGGCCTCACCCTCTCTCCCTAAACTGGCTCCTGCATCCCCATCTTTGTTACAG